GAGTCCTCAGAAAAAACTCTTGGGGCGCCTTACAGAGTATATTTAGTCACAGGTAGCTTTTGACTCTGCAAATTTACTCTCTCTATAGATACATTAAACTGTATGTATAGAATTGTACACACACTAAGAATGGAAAAGTACCCACAGTATGCCTAGGCCTTTGTAAATTGTTCATGTAATGTATGGGATGGTTGAATGTTGAATGTCTGATAAAGATGATAGTTTTTATGTGAATTGTGATGTTGGCATATGTAAAAATGCACAATTTGGCCAAATATTTGATTTTTTTTGGCACTTTTCAAGTTATGATTGAATGGCCTTGTGAATTTTGTTGAATCGAAGTTTTACTTGTGTATCGATTTGTAATTCTTGGGAATATTGAATATGATCTGCAGCTTATAAGGCTCGATTTAGAAATATTTATCTCTTTTCATCTTTTTTATGTCTTTGGTTATATTTGTTTTTTTTTAAAAAATTTGGTTTTGATCAGTGTAATAGTTTAGAACTCTTGAGATTGTTTCTTATAACTAGCTAATCTTAACAGAAGCTCATGTGATCATGTCTTTCTCAATTTTATTTCTGTTTTTTCTTTTTTTTTTCTTTTATTTTGATGAAAGATGAGATATTAGCCCAACAAGTTCGGGGCCACTAGGCTTGGTGAAATAAGGTTGATTCGTTTTGGGCCTACAAAAAGAACGCAAAGCCCAGACCAAATAATAGGCAGTGATCTACTGTATCGCATATTATTTTTGGCCTACGAAAAAATACGAAGCCCAGCCCAAATCCTAGGCAGTGAGCTGCTGAATCAGAACTCACATGAAAAATGAGAGCCAAAATTGAGCCCAAAAAAAAAAAAGGAAAAAAGAACAACATTGATGGGAATTATAAAATTTAAAAATGTGATTAGAATTTTCAGAAATTAAATTATGATGTTATAAAATGCGAGAAATATAAAGAACACAATGTAAAAATTAGATACAAATTATAAGATGCTTTCTTTCTGTTTTTCTTCGTTTTTTTTTCAGTACAACTATTACACTACTTCACTTGCCTTTTATAGGCAAACTTTGCACACATTTCAATGCAATCATTCACACATTTATAGGATAAGATAATAGTGGAAAAATTCCACTTGGTTATAACACCCCCTTGGAATTACCACTATTAACTGTGCGTTTATGTTGTCTCGTTAAAAACTGGTGCAGAATAATAGAATTATTATTATTATTATTATTATTATTATTATTATTATTATTATTATTATTATTATTATTATTTCAATTATATTATTTAATAATTAGTAGCTTGAAGAATAAGCTAGGGTTTAATTTAGGGGCTTTATTTAAAGGGTCTTATGCTTTGTTATTACTTATTAGGTAGTTGAATATGAAATAAGAAATCTGTTTTTGCGTATTATCAAGAGAGAGTATCTCTTTTACGTGTTTTACGAGAGAGTATCTCGTTTACTCGTTTATCTTTTCCCTTTCGTTCACGCTTTCCCTACATCAGTTGGTATCAACAGTCAGTACGCTCGCGATGCCGCCGGGACGAGAAGATGCTGCAAACAACCAACGTGATGCCACCTTCCACGATTGGTTTCAACAGATTGACTACCGATTTCAAGAATTGGACGTGCGTTTCACGAATTTGTTTGTCGATCTTTCTACGGGGATCGAGGATGTGTGTTTGACGCCGAACAACGTGGTTGATACGGAATGGCAGACGGACCGTGATGGAGGCCGTGACTATCGCGGGGGATATAGAGGCGATCGTGGGGGAAGCAACCATGTCGGGACGCCCCGACAGCTATCCCAGCCACCTCATAACGGCAACGGCGTTGGCGACTCTACCGGGTCGACTAACCCGTTTACAAGTCGACCACCATTGCAAGGAGCC